GGACTGACTGGAGCTGGAAGAAGCGGATTGACTGGAGCTGGAAGAACGGACTGACTGGAGGTGGAAGAAGCGGACTGTCTGGAGCTGGAAGAAGCGGACTGACTGGAGCTGGAAGAAGCGGACTGCAAGAGCCCAGCAGATGTCACAATCCGATCGAATCCGCCGGACCTGATTTGGGTTGGGTTAACAAATATGTTGAAGGCATGTGCGTTGGTCTGATGTGGGTTTGGGTTTTCATTCACCCACGGCTGCCCATTAACCGTTGATAGATGCCCAAAAGTATGCTACAACAAAGTCAATATTCAGCTTACGATTGCGTCGACAACAAATCGCGCAAGTTCCATGCTGCTGGCCTTCCAAAACATGCAAATTGTGCAAGTATTTGACTTCTATGTTGGCGTTGGGTTGAAGATAAATGCTTTCCCATCATGGCTTCACCGTATGGCTTATAATGACTTATTCTGACCGGATTGGATTCCGAATGGGTCAACCTTGAATTCCTGACTTACGGAATGTTTCGTGCTTTGTTCGCTGGCAGCCCGATCGCACAGACAAAACCCAGTACAGCCGGGTGCGGCGTACTGGTGTGTCCACAATTCCGCAACAACGTATAAACAGCACAATGGCGACGAGGTCTGTCATTCTCTAAATACCGCTGCGCCTTCCGCAACGCTGAACCCGTCCTGTAAACAGAGCCGTAAGGACAAACACACGGCGGCCGTCGGTGCCGCCGGGCCGCCCCGTCTCGGCGCCCGCTGGGCCGCTCGTGTCCGCCGGACGACCCCGCCTTGGTGTCCGCCGGACGACCCCGCCTCGGTGTGCGTCTGGCCGCCCCGCCTCGGTGTCCGCCGGGCCGCCCGTGTCCGCCGGGCGACCCCACCTCGGTGTCCACCGAGCCGCCCACTGACATGGTTTGGAAGTGACCGCCCGCCATGTCACCTGCCCGCCGTCGCCGGGTCACTGCCCGCCTGCCTGGCACCGCGGCGCACGGCGCAGCGCAGGGAAGTTACGGGGCCGGCGGCAGGGCGCCACCGCCTCTGCCAGTGGTAGAGAGCCGTGGACATTCATACAGCGCAGCACTGGTGCAGAGCGGATGGCCTACACATTATCTTTAGTTCACTGTGGATGTGAAAGCCGTACTTTTTTGTCCGTCTCCACGCGCCTGCAGAGCTGCAGAATTTTCCACTCTGATTACAAATGTTTTATGGCGCACAACAGCGACCTCGATGATGTGCAGACTTCAGCGCAAAATGTAGCAGTTTCCAGTCTTAATTCAAAGCGGGACATGAGCTGAGCAGCATTACGTGCAAAACAGTATGGGCACAGGACACACGGGGCCGCTTCGTGTGCCCGTGCAGACAGCCGACGATGCACCAACGCCGGCCGGCATGCACACTGCATGCACTGCCAGGCACCAACGCCGGCCGGCATCCACACTGCATGCACTGCCAAGCCCAGACCGTCCAAAGCACAGCGCCTGACGATGGCACCTTCCTGGCATTCATCACGCTCACCTTTCGAGGAGGCATCACCTTACCTCTGCCGACCTGTCCTCAGCGCTGGCTCGGGCCTCTGAGCTGCCTCACCGGCCACCCTCGGGGGGGGGGGGGGAGGAGGCACGCCCCCTCCCCCAGCCGAATCAGAACTCCGCTGTCGGCAAGCCCCTGCGCCACGGGCTATCTGATCGAGCCGTTGACGTCGTTGGAGCCCGATACGTTATCAGGCGGCCACGAGGGGCTGGCGGCGCCTGCCCCGGGCGCGTGTGGTTACCGGCAGGTGCCGGCAGTGGCGGATCCAGGCGGGCATAGGGAGGGGACCACGCCCCTCCGCCTTTGGGCGGAAGCAAAGCTAAAATATATTGGTGAAGCAGTACCAAAATCCTCATTTCGGATCTACATTAACTTTTCAAAAGGAACCAAATTTTAGGGGCACTACAGATAACCCCATATGTTCATATGCTCGTATGCCGAGAGGCCCCAAGGTCCAGGGGCTTCACAATGGCCCCAAACCTACAATTTCCAAAGGCACCACATTCCAGGACAATGGGATGTTGTGCCTCTCACTCTGACGAAATCCTGGGTGGGTTCTTTGGGCTGTGAGCACCAAAATACTCATTTCGGGGCACCGCAACTGTTTTCAAGATACAAGACAGTAGTAATAGCCTTCTTCCTCGGAGAAAAACCAGGGGAATGGAGACATGGTTGGGTTGATATTTTGGCAACATGCCTTTATAGAAACAATAACATAAGTGAATTCAAAATTGCAAAATTGAGGCAATTTTGCATTTTTCTGTTATTGTTTTGATACCATGGTATGTTGCCGAAATATCAACCCAAATATATGTCCGTTCTCCTTGTTTTTCTCGGAGAAATAAGGCTATTACTACTGTATTATCTATGTGAATAATGTTCCTCGCTAATGCACTGAGCAACTTACGTAATTTTTCAAGAGACGCTTTATCCAGCGAGCCATTCATTCCAAGGGCCTGAAACTTTGATTTTAACAGGGAACGAAATCCGCAGGTATCATGTTTTGTCTTTCACCATGACGAAAATCTGGATTGGCCCGTTCCACAAAAGGGCACCAAAGCCTTCATTTCCGGCTCTCATAACCTACGTCTTCCCGAGGCACAATTCCAGGGACGCCACAAAACAGGGATGGATCCAGAAGGGTCTTGCCCACCCCTTGGGTCCCTATGACATTTTGGTGCCCCTGGGAGGCACTAAGACCTCATAATGAAAGAGCACGAAAACCAGCACTTCGGATCCACATGTCCATCATGTTCAAAGGACAAAATTATAAAAAAAACACAAATGGCCCGCATTTTTATTTGAGTCACCAAATTCCAAGACCACCACAATGTTGGTGCCGTGTCTCTCAGCCCAGTCCTGGGTCGGCATGTTCGGCACGGTAACACCAAATCTTTCAGTTCGGGGCACAACTTTTATTTTTCAAGAAGCGTACAATTTCAGAGGGCACCACAAAGAACATATGGTCGTCATTCGGAAGGGGCACCAAATTACAGGAGCATAACTATGTTATGTCATTCACCCCGATGAAGTATTGGATCGACCCATTAAGCAAGGGGGGGGGGGTACAAAAACGTTCGTTACGAGAATCAGAATCTTAGATCAGAATCTTCATGTTCTACAGTCTTCTAAATCAAAGCGGAGCATTTAAAGATCCCATTGCCAAAATTTTAAGAAAAAAACAATTTAATTTCAGGGCAACATACACCTTATTTTCCGGCCTCACAATTTCAGGGGACACCACAAAGAGCCCCAAAACCTTAATTTTCAAGAGACAGACATCCCATAGGGACACTGCAATGCCGGATGCTGTTCACTGACGAAGTCCTCTACCGGCCCATTCGGCAAGGGGGGCACCGAAGCCCTTCGGGCACCCAACGCGCCACCAGAACATTTAGTTCCTGGATGCACCAGATCCAAGCGAGCGATAAAATGGGCCGAAAACTTTTCCTTCAATAGACACCAAAACCCAGGGGCATAACAATTACGTTGTCTTCCACTCTGACGAAATCCAGGATCGGCTCCTTCGGTGGAGGGGTCCAAAAATATTTATTAAATATATCAAAAATATTCCTTTCGGAGCATCGTTGCCCTCCTTTCCAAGAGGCATGGAATTGCGAGGTAGTGTCTCAAAGAGCCTCAGGATCTTCAATTGACGTTAACGACGATTTCCAGGCCACGCTAGAAATGGTTCCCAAATCGTCATGTTTACAAGAAACCAAAGTCCAAAGCCGCCATCATAACGCCACACGTAAAGAGGGGGAAGGGGACACAGAGGCACGTAACCCCACTCCCATCCCTCGGGCCCCAAAGGTCCCGAGAGTTCTAAGCGGTCCTTTAGGCCCCTTGGGGCTGGTGATCAAGGGTCGGATAGGAGGACAGGGCGGAGATCATATGCAGACAACAAAACTGCAGCCCTAAGGCCAGATCCTCAAATGTCAAAGCACCTCTCGCACTAACCGGACGGCCGTCTGGGACAAGCAGGGCTGATTGCAGTCAGCTGACTAAGACCACTATCGCCGAACAGTCGGTTCTGTGCCAGTCTGGGCCCTAAGGGATCCTCTCTCAAACAGAAGAAAGGCCGGGGCCTACAAATGTCATGCAGAAGGCCTCTTGCATCGATCCAGGTCCCTGAAACAGGGAAGGACACCCTGTACTGGTCAGAGCCCGCTGCTGGTCGAGGCTTCTCTGGCGCTAGTCGGGGCCTTTTGGCAGTCAACGGAAATATGAGAAGGGTTCGCATTCACAATGAGACAGGGGGAAGACCCTGTGTCAGTCGAGAGGCCCGAGCACCGAACGAAGGACGGATTCTCCGCGCGGTTTTAGCCAGGGGCCGATAAGCCTACTTGGTGTCTCGGTACCAATTATTGGACTCTCTGTGCCGGTAAGGGATCTTTGGCATTCGTGGATGCTCCTGCACCGATCCAGTATCAGATGTCCCGGTCAGAGGACCTGCCGCATCAAAGAGGGGACCTGTTATGATGTATTCCATTGAGTTTTCGCACCGGCCAGGGGGCCACAAGGGACCCTGGAATTGGAGGTGGATGGATTGCGCTTCATGTCCTCACCAAAACATTTACCTGTGCAATTTTAAAGGTGATTTTCCGAGCGGAATTAGTAGTTAGAGCTTGCATCTCCGATTGCCGAGTTTCATATCGGCTCAGTTCGCTCATTCGATAACAACAACGAAAAAGGCTCATCAAGAATAATGGCCAAAATCATAGGCACGCACATCTGCTTTCCAATGAGCAAGATGCCCATGCATGTTGCATTATTTTCGCATAGTTAACGTCGTGTCTCGGCATCAACATGCATTCCACACGTGATTTTGCACTGGTACAACCGTTCTCTCAGTGCCGTGCGATGGCGTTGCATGCGTCCCGCGAATGCCTTTCAAGCCCTTGATTCCGTGTCGACAGCAGCGACTGTTCACCTGTCACTGGTTTGTCAGCGTGGCGCCTGTGTTCGCAGTGGCCAATGCACGAGTAACCTGGAGCACCTGGTCTCGGGCCGAACAGACAGCGCCCTCACCGAACAGGGACAGCAGGAGGCCCAGCTGCTCGGCAACTATTTCCGGGTGAGTACCCTCCTTCATGTGAGACCGCTGCCGGTTGGGATGGTAGTGCGCGTGCTTGCGTGTGCGCGTGGGTGTAGGGTTGTCTTATCTTATGCGCCGTACGCCTTTGTTAACAGCTTGCACACAGGCGGCCACGTATGTTCTTTGGGCGTTCCGATGTTGCCGCCTACGAACATCCAGACTTTGTTACTGTGATTTTAAAGGAAATATTCCACATTTGAAGATATTGAAGCAAGCATGACATATGATGAAATAAGCTCATTTAGAACTACTGGCATGCTTTTAAGGGCGAAAGACTGCTGTAGACAACACAATTTTTATATGGAATAAGACAGTAGTAATAGCCTTCTTCCTCGGAGAAATCCAGGAGAAGGCAGAAGATATGAATGGGTTATATTTAATGGGTTTATGGGTTGACTTCCTGTTCGTAGTGCAGTTGTACGTTGTGTCCTGTGCCCCTGCTGGGGCGGGGCGCGGCACGTGGTCAGGTTCACAGGCCGGCGCCGGCTGCGCGGCAGACGCGCGCCGCCGCCGCAGTTCGCACGGCTGGTGTCTCATTACACTTCCGGCATTGTTTCGATGAGGGCAGGTTGCCGAAATATCAACCCACTTGCTTCTCCATTCTTCTGTTTTCTTCCGAGGGATAAGGCTACTACTACTGTCTTATCTATGTGAATAAGGTTCTTCGCAAACGCACTTAACAACCTAAGGAATTTTTCATTTTTAGCAAATGAGCTCATCAATACTTCATTGATTGCGTTATGGGACGTTTGTATGACGTTGAGATGATGTCAAACTGCCCATGCGAAACTGTCGCCCTACCACTCACTTGTAGTACTTTAATCTCCCGACAGATGGTCGTGGTGTTGCTGAAACAAATATCTTTATGTAGTCGTGTTTTGGTCCTTTCTCGTGGGTTTTTGCATATTTGTTCTTGAGTTTAAGGTGTTTATTTTTAGTCACATTCTTGGTTATTGCGCTATTCCTAAGTTAATCTATTACAAATTGTATTTCCGTTTTAAATATTAAGACATCCAACTTTGTATATCGTGGAGTTCAAAACATGAGCTGTGATTGAAACTTGCACTGCCTGCACAATAGTGGTTAAGAGCCATTTTAAGTTCGTTATACTGAAAATCGTGCTCACAAACGCCAGATATGAACGAGTTGTGGATATTACACCTGTTGGCCCTAAAGGCCGCATGACCAATGGGTGGTCGGGATTTAAATGACGTGTCTATAGTGTCATGCACGCCTGAACGACCTTAGAATAGTCTGCAAAAAGCAGTTTGCACGAAATGATCTGCAAAAAAACAGTCTGCACAAAAAAGTCTGCCAAAAATCTGCGTATCTTCACGGTCGTGAGGCTCAGAAATAGTCATATGTCTAGGAAAGAGCAGGGCTGTGAACTACGCCGGATAATCTTCTAGATGGCTATTTGAAATCAAACCCGGATACAAATGTGAAACACTTCACATACAGTTGAGTCCTCGATCTCCCGAAATGCAAGTGGCCTGTCGAAATCGTGGGGCTCAGGCCACGTGACATTCCTGTTGGGCGTGCCACGCATTCTTACTGCGTATGTGGTCATCCATTCACCATACGCGGGAGCATTTCCCCCAGGTCAGCAAAAAATGTTATCAACCATTGAAATCTGCCAGGTGATTCATGCGCAAATCTGGTAGGTCGGCAATGTTGCATTGGATTCGAGGAACTGAGGAGAGCACGTGGAGCAGTGCGGTTTTGCGGTTTTGAGACTCGTGTGGGTTGAGAAATACAATGGGGTTTGGAGACTCGTGTGGGTTGAGAAATGCAGCTTAATGCCGTCACCAGATTTTCACGAATCTGTGACTCACTGTCGGGCCCCTAGTCAGACCTCACCTCGACTTCACGACTCAGTCATGCCGCGATTCAGGCCTCAATGCGGTCAGACTTGGGGCAAGGTCGAATATCTCTCCGGCAATCATCCACGGAGGTTCTCCATTTACGATCGGCAGGTCCGAAAATAATTTCCAATTTCGTCACACATGCGCTTTGCATAACCGACGGTCTCAGCCAGGCTTGGCGAAAAGGATTCTCGTCTTTACCATGTTCTGAAAATGACCCGAGGTTGTCCCACATCTGCAATAATGATTCATGTGGGCAGTGCCGAACGCCATTCCGGGTAGTTTTCCAACATTCTGGATAATTCTCCAAGATAAACTACCGGCTGGGCGCGCCCTTTGTCGGACTGCAACTCCCTGGTCTTAAGCCGTCGTCGAACATTCATTCTGTTTAGCCAAAACTTTTCGTCAGATAACAGCTTCTCGTCAGGGAACCAGATTTGTGTGTAGATGGTTGACGCATGCGTACACAAATATGCAGGCACATATACATAAACAGCCCGTGCACACACACACACACACACACACACACACACACACACAAACTACATATATATATATATATATATGTAGTTTGTATATGTATATATATATATATATATATATATATATATATATATATATATATATATAATGCATCCAGCTGGCTTCGCGTCGCCATATGTTAAACACATTGCCGAAGGAACGCTTACCGTCCGACCACTTCCCGCCTGTTGCACCAGAGCCCACCGTCAAAAGCTGCAAGCTTGCAACAGCGGACATAACGCCATTTCACGGCATGCCTCGTCCCTGGCACCCCCCCCCCCCCTTGCTGGAGGCAGTCGGGCAGCGCCACGTGGCGGTCCGGCAGCACCGTATCGTGATAGAGTGGTGGCACGTTAGCATGGTGATGCGGCGGCACAGCTGCGCCATAGCACGTCAGCACGTCAGCACGATAGCACGGTAGCACATTATCACAACAGTACGGTAGCAAAGTAGCGAGGCTGCACGCCAGTACGGCAGCTGGTAGCGTGGTAGCACGTTAGCACAAAAGCACGGTAGCACGGCATTACAGCAGCGCGGAATCGCGTCATCACAACAGTACGGTAGTACGTCACCTCATCAGCACGTCAGCAAGATAGCCCGTCAGCACGACGGCAAGATAGCCCGTCAGCACGACAACACGTCAGCACAGTAGCGCAATAGTCCGGCGGCGTGGATTCACAACAGCAGGCGGCTGCGCGCCTGTCCGATAGCAGGGATCAGCATCGCGTGCAGTAGCTGCTACCGCGCCGGCCGCCGGCGGCGGCGGCTATGCTGAGGTCACGCGCCCACGCACCGCACACAACTGACTCCGACCTCCCGGCCGTCCTCGGGCTCTGCGTGCACTGTTTCCGAACACTCGTACATATCGTGCCGACAGCGCTCATTCCGGCTAGTACTGATGGATGTTAACAATGAATTAAGTGGTGTCGCCCGCACGGAAGAACGCGGCGGCTTCCGTGACCGGGTGACCGCTTGGCACCAGCCCGTCCCCTCCCGCTCGCAAGAACATGGTCCGCGATTAGCTTCGGAGGTGCCGTCGTTGTTTTAGCAGTTGGTGTTAGCACAAGCTGTTGCTGACTGCGGAAACGGATAGAGCGCCACGGGGCTTCATGCAGCTTTTCGCTGCACCCTCTCCTTCGCGTAGACCAGGGGCATTGATGAAATCATCACGGCAGTGTTCGTCAGAAGGCCTTTTGTGAAATGCAGGGTCAACCTTTCAGCACTCGAGCGCGGTGTGGGCACATGCTCATAACGTGCAATCAAGTCTCGCGTTCGTCACGGTGCACAGCCCCCCCCCCCCCCCTCCCCCCATTCCCGGCGCCATCTGTGCGAATACCAGCCCACGGTGCACTGTTACAGCTGCGACACCGACCCACGAGCAGCTCGCGCGCTGTTTTGACGCTGCATTCTCGTCATGTGGGCATGTAGCCCTTTTTGCACGGGTGTGGAACAATCTGAAAGTCCGTTCGGTGAGCGGACATAAAGCAACCACGTAATGGTTGGCAAGCTCGGTTCACGACCGGTGCGGTGTTTACACTGCATCTGCGCTCATCCACATCCGCATCTACATCCATCCGTACCGATGGCACGCAGAACACCACACATCTGTTCGCCTATGCTTGTCCGTGGCGATGTTAAGCTTGCTCTGGGGCGTCTGTTTGTTTCAACGCACTGAAACCAACGGCTCAGAGCCGGTCCGTGTTTCTTGGGCTTTGTTAAAAAGGTGGAGAACGAACCCACTAGGGTATATTAATTTTCAGTGATGTGTTTTTATGGCATCCGCCCGGGCACGCAGTATCACGCGAGCGGTGATTCACATGGAACATTTCTACAAACGGGAAAACACGTGCAGGTGTGCATGCAAGAGAAGCGCGGTCTCGTTTGGCGTTTCGAACGATTGCTCTCAAAATCCAAACTATGAAACCACGCAGTTACATCGACAATAATGTTCAGGGCCCTTCCCTGACGTTCTTATTGACTGCCGACTGATATCTCAGTCTCTTGGGACTTGGACCAGCGATCACCTCAGGGCTGTCGCACTTACGAGCTACTGCGGACGCGGGACACTGCTCCGCACACATTGATGGTCTCAGCCTGTCGCAAACGCATCTAGGTCACGTTGATGCCTACAGATGAACATCAGGCCGCCATGACGAGAGAGGTATTCTTTCCGCTCTTCGAGAGAATGGAGAGCGTGCACAACAAAATGCAACATTTGTGGCGTTTTTTATGCCGACAGATACTGTCTAGGCTTACGCTACAGCTGACGTGCCCCTGGTATTCATGCAGAAGCAATCAATGCGCGTCCAGCTGTTTTGATATGTGCGATTGAGGCCTGGGAAGATGTGCACCACCTTCCTGTGTGCCAGGTGGCAACAAGCTTCGAGTGACTGATTTGGTCTGTTCAAAGCCTTAGTGCACATGTCTTGTGTTAATTAACCCAATTTGATTCGTAGCCTTGACGATGAAGCTGTGCAGTCTGATGAATTAATCGGAGTCATATTCAAATACAGAACATACGCTACTGCCAGAATGCCACATTTCATTGCATGCCATTCTTTCGGAAGCTTATAACTAAACTTACCGCTCATGTTTTTGTAGTGTTTTGCTCAATCACTTTCTAGTTGATATATCTGGCTAGAGTACACTTGATTACACCCGTTCAGTCGCTGCCGATACAAACATGGCTGCACGTGCGGAATGTTGCTGCATTGTCAAACCTGAATGCAGCCTGAACCTGGATTTACGCCAACTGATCACGAAATCTGGAAGCCGCTTTCGCGCCCGACTGCACCATCACCATTCGATAACCGATGTGTAACTCAATCACTTTAATCGCAACGGAAGCGCATTACAATCCTGTGCACTGAACAAACGATCACCGCGGCTATGAATTGCAAGTGGGCGTGACTGCCCATGGTGCGATCCATTATAAAGTGTCTGATGCTGTCGGACGTGCTTTGATGTGGCCTCTCCCGTATAATAACAGCATAGCAATAACAAGAACCCCCAAAGCTGCCGACGCAAACGAGTCCAGTGAGCATCTAAGCATTAGCATTGATACTGACAGCGCCAGCAGCATCAAGCGCTTCCATCATGTCATCATTTTGCTCTCCACCGGCACGGTGATGAGGTTGTTTCGTGCCGGTTGTTTCGTGTGTGCCAGACGCGCTATGCGAGCGCGCTTGACACAGCCTGGCGCGAGAAGCGCGCGTGCCCCTGACGCCGAACGCCCATGTCTGAAGTCATGAAGCGCAAGCGACGCGCGTGCCTGTGACGTCGAGCGCGCGCGTCTAACACGCCTGGCGCGAGCGACGTGCGTGCCTGTGGCGCCGAGCGCGCGCGTCTAACACAGCCTGGCGCCGGCCTGTTTTCAGAAGCAGAACATCCCGATCGACCGGATCTACTCGTCGCCCCTGCTGCGGGCGTACAAGACGGCACTGGCACTGGCCGGCGACCGGCAGCAGGTCATCGTCGACCCGCGCCTTATAGAGAAGGTCGGTGCCCTGATCTCTGCCGTCCCCTGGCGCACCTCAAGCTTTGACCGCCACCCGTCCGCGGCAGACTGAGCTTCTAATATTTTTATCGCTTCTGGCTCCACCGTGTCATCTTCGTTTTATCACTGTATTGTGCAGTCTGAGCTAGATATGATATCATCTTATATGATTTGTTTCATTGTGGTACTTCGTTTTGTTCCATTTATCTCTATATAGCCTATCGTTCGGGGAATCATTTCATAGCCCCCTCGCTACCATTACTTGCGTGTAGCTACCGATTTGCTTGTCGAACTTGACACGTTCTATAAGGGCCCGCGCGCCAAATTGTTCAGGATAACCAAACCCATCAAATAAGGTTAAGAGAATGTTCCACACTTGAAGATATTTATGCAAACATCAGATATGGTGAGCTCACTTATGCGTAGTTGGTAAACTTCCAGGTGGAAGGCCCCTCTAGACAACACAATTTCTCTATTAAATAAATATGCTCCTTAATGCGTCATTGTTTGATTACGCCATCGCACCTTGTACAATATCGATTGAGAGGCAATTGTCCGCCGTTTTATATGGAAGTCGTGCTCACGAACACCAGATATAAGCGACTTGACGAATGTATTTTTCTTAACATCGATCGCTGCATGGCTAATAGAGTGGCAGGATTTGAATTGCGTCATTATGGCGCCTTGGATGCCTGGGTGATCTTGACATAGTCTCCCCGAAATAGTCTGCACATCTTCGCGGGCGTGCAGCTCAGAAACCAGAGGTTTAGGTCTTAAGAAGGGCAGTGCTGTGGCTGCACCGAATGATCTTCAAGATAGCTCTTTCGGTTCAAAATCTCAGACAAACGTTGAACACCACCTTTAAAGGGAACAGGTGCTTATCAATCGGTTAAAATTCGTCGCCGATTGCGCCCCACTCTACGCTATCTTGAGCCGGGCATGACGTCATCGGGCTAGAAGCCGCCGCCGGGCATGGTAACTGGGCGGAACGGCCACGTGCGCGCGCGCGTGCGCACCTGAACTTTGACCCGCCGGCTGCCGGCCCGTGTCTGTGGCCGCGTCCCGTGACCGCGGGTCAGGGCCGGCTAGTGTTTGCGAGGAAGGGGGAGATAGACTGAGACCGAGTGGATGGTTTGGTCTGCATCACCGATTGTCTCATAGTGACCGATGGCTGTCACCAAGGTGCCAGCCCCACAGTCGAGGCTTCCCCAGGCCAGATGAGTGGCGAGGAGGCGAGAGGGGCCGCGAGATGCTGACCCCAGACTGTGCGGACGTCAGTGTATCTCGGCGCTGGGTTCCCTGAGACGCTTAATTCTCGATCATGCATGACCTTTGAACCTACGAGTGAGTGCGACCCAGCTCACACCACTCGTAAAACCGTGCATCGCTAACGCACTTGGCGATGCACGGTGGCACTCATCGATGGCTCGTTACTTAATCCTCTTGGGATGGCAGCGAATAGTCAATAACCTGCAAGGGGGCGAATGACCAAGATTTTATGAATAGAAGAGGACTTACGGCGAGAGAGAGAGAGAGAGAGAGAGAGAGAGAGAGAGAGAGAGAGAGAGAGAGAGAGAGAGAGAGAGAGAGAGAGAGAGAGAGAGAGAGAGAGAGAGAGGAGAGGGGGGGGGAGGGGAGAGGAGAGGGAGAGGGAGAGGGAGAGGGAGAGAGGGAGAGGGAGGGGGAGGGGGAGGGGGAGCGAGTGAGAGAGATTTTATTCTTATGCATCTTGTGAACGCTTGACCGCCAGGGGCTCAGTTACGCCCGCTTCCGTATAAACGTTTGCTCCTTAAACGCACTCGGCTTAATGTCGGCTCTGCACGCAACACAGAATTGGCGGCTTCAAAGCGCAGGCCGGCCCAGCTGTGGCACATAAATCCACGCCGAGGGCCTGTCGGCCAGGCGTTGCTCGCGTGGAGCGTGCGCGGCGGCCGCCGCCGGCTCGTCTGTTATTCCTGTGACGACCCCCGCCGCGCCCCTCCCCGCGGACTGCACACCGGCACTGTTGGTGCACCGCTCCTGCAGACGGTGCACCTTGCACTGCGGACGCAGGCGGCAGCGCTGGCAGGGGCGCGTCCAGGCGTCGCCGGGGGGGGGGGGGGGGGGGGGCGGAGCGCCGCGGGGCTGTGTTCGGCCAGTGGAAATGTCAACTGATTAGGGTGACGTTCCGCCGCGATTAACAATAGAAAATCACTGAAAGACCCATCGGCAAGTTTTGGCTACGTGCACTTTCATGCCCGCAGAGCAACAGCGGATTTCGTGTACTTTGCACGTAAAAATATTCTCATTTTTGATAGCCATTATATCGCTACCCATCGTCCCGGCGACACCATCTATTCCTGATCCTAAGTGCCGACTCATCCGCATCTCTACAGTCGAAATTGGCAGCAGTCGGCTCTCATTGCCTTATAGGTGCCACACACCGGGGAAAACGCCGAGTCCCTGCCTCACTCACGCTTTGCATACCAAGCGAGGCACCCAACACGAGTATGCAGATTCGCGGTAGTTGTGATCCGTGGCGTAGCAGGCAGACATTCCGCATCGGATCGCGTGCCGTGCAGTCGGAGGAGATCGTGGTCGGAGCTACTCGTCGCAGTAGTTGGGGTGCATCGGGGTATTTCCTGGGACCTGCCAGAAAATGGCGCAGTTCCCTCTGAACGCGGGTGGAAAACGCCGAGAACAGCTGGCGTGGCAAACCGCCAGAACGACCGTCTGTCAATGGGAACGCGATACAACTGGGACTGTGTCAAACAACGTTGGACGCTGCCACGCCTGCTTTGTCGCATCTCCCATGCCCCTGAAGCAATGGTGCGATTATCGCTTCCACTGTTTGATAATGGTGTTGAAAACCACTTTACATCGTGCACAGTTGCAATGCCGTACTTGTTTATATATGGTTCCGGCAGTGCAAGCCGGCAAAACCTTCTGCGCTGTCACGCTGCGTCTTTCGCTACACTACGGCATTGCTGGCTGGTATTAGGAACAAACTGATGTCGTTCCTCCTTTTTAGTGTAGAAGAGCATATTTTTTAGATACTTTCGCTAGATTCAGATTTTGTTAGATCTGGTAGATTTTTGCTAGATTTTGCTGGATTCACGAGATTTTACGCGTGATACGATTTTACCTTAACACTTGGTGATGAGGATAAGTTGGCTGGCAATGAAAAGAAACGTAATATTTTCGAAACAGCATGTCTGTGGACGGAGATTAACGTGGGGAAACTTTCATAAATTCGACGCTAACTTGAGCGAGTCAATGATAACTTCAAAAACTTTCAGATTAACCTTGCGATAAACTGCATGCCATGATAACCTTCATTCAGACATAGGAATGTGCATGCAATGTTGTAGTTTTCAACAACTGCTAATAAGATAAACACCACGAACGCGCCGTGAATGCTGTGCCACTGAGCCCAGCGGCCAGCCGGCGGCGCCGCGCCCGGCCGGGTCGGATATTTGGAGCCGGGTTGCGATCGCCTCTCGCGACTGGAGACACCAGTGACCCCTGCCCTCTGTAAGCCCCTCCGGATCCCCTCTGTAAGCCTCTCCGGGTCCCCTCTGTAGGCGTCTCCGGATCCTCTCTGTAAGGCTTTCCGGGTCCCCTCCGTAAGCCTCTCTGGACCCTCTCTGTAAAACTCTCCGGGTTCCCTCTTTAAGCCTCTCCGGGTCCCCTCTGTAAGCCTCTCCGGGTTCTCTCTTGCCGCTACGGTACAACATGGCAGCCACGCCCACAACAACTCGGGCGCCGGGCGAGTGCATGGGGTTAGCTGCTGGTGACAGGGAAGGGCGGGGCGGGGCGGGTGGGGAGGAGGCTGTTGCTGAGGCTGAGGCCACGGTGTTGCCTGAGGTGGCGTTGGTCGACAGGTGTGATGTCATGACAGCTGGCTCAGCAAGGTCAGCGGGGTCAGTTGGCTTAGTGGGGTCAGCGGGGTCAGCGGGGTCAGCGGGTCAGCGGGGTCAGCGGGTCCAGAGGTGTCAGCGGGGTCAGTGGGGTCAGAAGTGTCAGCGGGGTCAGCGTGGTCAGCGGTGTCAGCGGGGTCAGCGGGGTCAGAAGTGTCGGCGGGGTCAGCGTGGTCAGCGGAGTTGATCACGGTCGCTGAATTGCCCTGATTAATTGTTACTCGAGAAAATGGATGGAATACTTTAGCGTAAAGACTTTTAACCAATCTATGTTTTAGGAAGGTGAATGGGATTAGGTGCAGTTAGAAACAGTTGCGCCCCAGTCTGGACATAGGGATGCGGTTAACGAACCTGTTTTTATGGCTGGTGTGAATTTAGCGACGGCCAGAGTCGAGATTCTTATAAACAGAGTAGATACTATTTTAAATAAACATACATTACTCCTGCATACAGAGACATGACTTGGAACCTTTGGTTATTAACGCCCGACCTGTCGAGTCGTCTTTGCGACCCCCCTCTCCATTTTTTGTTGTTGAGAATACCCCTCCGGCATGCCACACAATCGCGCCAAAATTTTCAGTGGCCTACGTGACATTCATTACGCGTGTTTGACGCCAAAGACTTATCACTTGCATTTGTGGTCTCGTAGCAGCGGCTGTTTTTTTAAGAACACTGCACGGCGATCCATAGCCCTCGCGGGCGATGGACGGCAACCGACGATGCCACGAAACGCGCGCATTGGGCCGACATCGTTACGTTAACGGAGCCGGATATCATAACTATATGCTAAAAACGCATAAAACTGTGCACATTGGTACTCCAAACTAAACCAGAAATCCGCCGGCTTAGGTTTGATGTGGGTACGAGGCGTGGCGTCGTCCGTATGAGCATGAAAATGGAAATAGTTGACTGGCGGGAAAATCCGATAGTTATGCTTGTATAATGACGTCAGTTAGTGGCCAAGCCAAGTCATTGCAGAGAAAGTGAATATTGTTCAAATTGGCAAAACTTTGCTGAAAACATACCAGTGGTCCTTTCCGATAATAAAAAAAGTTTTATCTTTCGTGGTTTGGAGGCGGCAGGGTGGGGTGGGGTCGCATCGACTCTCTCAGTCCACGTTATGAAAACCGGTAAATCAGCGCAAGGGTTAGAACACACACTTGTGCAGGCTTCATGCTGGGTGAGAACAAAAACAAATAAACAAACAAACAAAAGTTTGAAACCCGGTGGTGCGCTTGCTTCACCACGTTACTGAGACATGAGTGATGCGCGGGGTTTCCCCACGCGATCACCTCTCCCGGCTCGAGCAACGTAAACCCCAGCACCGATGACGTGGAACTCTCGGAATCGTCGTCTTCGTCACCCGGACACGTCCCTTCCCAGCACCAGTGGGTGCGAGGGAACCCCCGATAATGCACTGACAGCGGAGGCGCAGTGTTCCAACAATGCGCTGTGGGCGAGGGCACCTCCGAGCCTTCACCGACACCAGACTGTCGTGTTTCAGTGTCATGGCGTGTGGAAGGGCACCTCCGAGCCCCCGCCGACACCTGACTGTCATGTTTCAGTGTCATAGCGTGTAGGAGGGCACCTCCGAGCCCTCACCGACACCCGACTGTCGTGTTTCAGTGTCATGGCGCGTGGAAGGGCACCTCCGAGCCCTCGCCGACACCAGACTGTCGTGTTTCAGTGTCATGGCGTGTGAGAGGGCACCGCCGGGCCCTCACCAACACCCGACTGTCGTGTTTCAGTGTCATGGCGTGTGGAAGGGCACCTCCGAGCCCTCACCGACACCAGACTGTCGTGTTTCAGTGTCATGGCGTGTGGGAAGGCACCTCCGAGCCTTCACCGACACCCGACTGTCGTGTTTCAGTGTCACGGCGTGGGCGAGGGTACCTCCGAGCCCTCACCGACACCCGACTGTCGTGTTTTAGTGTCATGGCGTGTGGGAGGGCACCTCCGAGCCCTCACCGACACCCGACTGTCGTGTTTCAGTGTTACGGCGTGTGGGAGGGTACCTCCGAGCCCTCACCGACACCCGACTGTCGTGTTTCAGTGTTACGGCGTGTGAGAGGGCACCGCCGGGCCCTCACCGACACCTGACTGTCGTGTTTCAGTGTCATGGCGTGTGGGAGGGCACCTCCGAGCCCTCACCGACACCCGACTGTCGTGTTTCAGTGTCATGGCGTGTGGAAGGGCACCTCCGAGCCCTCGCCGACACCAGACTGTCGTGTTTCAGTGTCATGGCGTGTGGAAGGGCACCTCCGAGCCCTCACCAACACCCGACTGTCATGTTTCAGTGTCATGGCGTGTGGAAGGGCACCTCCGAGCCCTCGCCGACACCCGACTGTCGTGTTTCAGTGTCATGGCGTGTGGAAGGGCACCTCCGAGCCCTCACCGACACCCGACTGTCGTGTTTCAGTGTCATGGCGTGTGGAAGGGCACCTCCGAGCCCTCACCAACACCCGACTGTCATGTTTCAGTGTCATGGCGTGTGGGAGGGCACCTCCGAGCCCTCACCGACACCCGACTGTCGTGTTTCAGTGTTACGGCGTGTGAGAGGGCACCGCCGGGCCCTCACCGACACCCGACTGTCGTGTTTCAGTGTCATGGCGTGTGGGAGGGCACCTCCGAGCCCTCACCGACACCCGACTGTCGTGTTTCAGTGTCATGGCGTGTGGAAGGGCACCTCCGAGCCCTCGCCGACACCAGACTGTCGTGTTTCAGTGTAATGGCGTGTGGAAGGGCACCTCCGAGCCCTCACCAACACCCGCCTGTCATGTTTCAGTGTCATGGCGTGTGGAAGGGCACCTCCGAGCCCTCGCCGACACCCGACTGTCGTGTTTCAGTGTCATGGCGTGTGGAAGGGCACCTCCGAGCCCTCACCGACACCCGACTGTCGTGTTTCAGTGTCATGGCGTGCGGGAGGGCACCTCCGAGCCCTCACCGACACCCGACTGTCGTGTTTCAGTGTCATGGCGTGTGGAAGGGCACCTCCGAGCCCTCGCCGACACCAGACTGTCGTGTTTCAGTGTCATGGCGTGTGAGAGGGCACCTCCGAGCCCTCGCCGACACCAGACTGTCGTGTTTCAGTGTCATGGCGTGTGGAAGGGCACCTCCGAGCCCTCGCCGACACCAGACTGTCGTGTTTCAGTGTCATAGCGTGTAGGAGGGCACCTCCGAGCCCTCGCCGACACCAGACTGTCGTGTTTCAGTGTCATGGCGTGTGAGAGGGCACCTCCGAGCCCTCGCCGACACCAGACTGTCGTGTTTCAGTGTCATAGCGTGTAGGAGGGCACCTCCGAGCCCTCGCCGACACCAGACTGTCGTGCTTCAGTGTCATGGCGTGTGAGAGGGCACCTCCGAGCCCTCGCCGACACCAGACTGTCGTGTTTCAGTGTCATGGCGTGTGGAAGGGCACCTCCGAGCCCTCGCCGACACCAGACTGTCGTGTTTCAGTGTCATAGCGTGTGGGAAGGCACCTCCGAGCCCTCACCGACACCAGACTGTCGTGTTTCAGTGTCATAGCGTGTGGGAAGGCACCTCCGAGCCCTCACCGACACCAGACTGTCGTGTTTCAGTGTCATAGCGTGTGGGAAGGCACCTCCGAGCCCTCACCGACACCAGACGGTCGTGTTTCAGTGTTACGGCGTGTGAGAGGGCACCGCCGGGCCCTCACCAACACCCGACTGTCGTGTTTCAGTGTCATGGCGTGTGGAAGGGCACCTCCGAGCCCTCACCAACACCCGACTGTCGTGTTTCAGTGTTACGGCGTGTGTGAGGGCATCGCAGAATCGGACTGGTTCAAGATGATGTCCAGCTCGGGTTCGGACGTCTACCACTTCATGCCAGAGGGCGCGGAGCCCTCGGACGATGTCCACCAGCGGCTCACAGACTTCTTCTGGGTGCGTCCGTCGGCGCGAGCGCAGAGTATGCGGCTACAGCCGGGCGCGTTGTGGAGGAGCTGCGAATGTGGCGCGGGTGCTATTTATGCCCATGCGTGTAGTTTGTTCTATGCATTTTTTTACGATAACTCGCTTCATGAACTATCATGGACGCATTTAACCCATTTGATCGCAAGGGCGCCGCTGCCGAGGTCGCTGTATTCATCGGCCGCTCGGTGATACCTGGACTGCCTGAGCGTTGGACTTTTATCGCACGCACTCGGTATCCGTCTGATACACACACAGGATCGGCTAATCTGGATTATCTGCCGCCGTGTGCACCTAACCTGTCATGGCAGGTCGATTTTTCGCTTGCCATTGCAAGTCGTATCTCGAGTACTGATAGGAGGATTCAAGATTGGCCAGTCATGTGAGGTTCTTTTGCGCTGAAGAGGTTCGATGTTCTGTTGCGCTGGTGTTCACATAACTTTGACGATACCATCCCTTACAGCATCATGGGTTTATCTGGGACCATACACATGAGCGCACTGCAGTTCGGCCCTGGCGTAACAAGGTCCATCTTTCTATCGCAAAGTGTGTGCTCTGGCTTGTCAAATCAGAAAACGTTGCCCCTGGTCCTTGGTGTAAATTCCAATGCTACTCTTCTGTTCCATTCTGGTTTAGAAAAAGTAGTCATTTGAACCAAATTGGTAACCCGGTGTGACAAGTTTTGTCTTCACATGTATTTTTACATGGACGCACCGGCGACTGAGAGCATCGCGTGGAAAATTCGCGGCCATTTCCCGAAGCAACAACGAAAACCACCAGTTTTGCTGTAGGATTGAAACGAGACGTAACACACCAGACAAGACACATCACGGATGAAATAACTGTTGTTAGGACTGTCGTCCCCGTCTTATCTGGCCGTTGTGAGGTGTTATGGAGTTCTGAGAATAACTGAATAATTATTGGCCATCAGCCATGTATGCGTCGCAACTCAAATTGTTCCCTCGAAGGTTTGCCAGCGATTCCGACGGGAAAATTCGTGTTGTAGCGCGTATGCGACTAAACGACAATCATCATCCAGTCCTTCTCAGGACCCAGTAGTACCTTTACGACGGCTGGAGACTTAACCGGCCGGAATGGTGCGTGCATACTGATACACCAGACGGGTGCGATGGTGTCAACAACCATTGTTTCATCGGGGATAAACAGCCAGGCCCCGCGTATTGAAACGGCCCGGCGAAGGTGCTGGTTCTCAGCGTAAGGTCGGCTGCATCGCTGGAATGTTCTCAGTCAGTGAGCTAAAGTAAACTCAGCGGTGCTCGCTCGGCCGTACTGTGTAATCACCGCGTGCTCTTTCACAGTCCGTGGTGAACGACGTTCTGCCCGAACCGTCCGTCACTCCAGCGCCACCTACAAACGGCCACAGTTCCAGTTCGGACGGCCAGGTGGCGCGGCGAACGACAATAGCCGCCGTCACCCACGGCGCTGTCCTGTTCGGCTACGCACTTTTCTTCATGCTCGAGCTGGGCATCCTGACCCTGGAAGACCCGACCAGTACGCCCATCTGTAACACGGGCGTGTGCAGGCTGGATTTCTGGCGCGACGATGCTGGCAAGATCACGGGCAAGACGGTGTACCTGAACCGGCTGGACCACATCAACGGTGCCAACTTCAGCGTCAAGAGGGTGGCCGCCGGCAAGATGTACCAGGAGGACTGAGGAGATTGAGACGGTCGGGAGCCGTCGGGGAGGTCGATGCGAGACTCCCCGCCCCTCCACACAGTGTCCGCCCTGCTGGGCAGGGCTTCGCTGCGGAGGCGAGCTGCGTCACGCGCGTGCTCGCAGACGGCTGCTCCGTCGCCCGGCTGCTGTGATGCGCTTCTGGCCGGCCACCGATCAGTGAGGTTTTAAAAAGACAGGCGGCGTCCGCTTCACGCGCCGGAGAAAAGCTTTCCTGAGCGTTGCGCTGCCGCTGGGCGCTGGCAATGCGCCAGGAGAGGTCACGTGCTCCTACGCCATCCAATCATAGAGGCCAGTATTTTCTACGTCGGAAATGTTGCGTAGCGCAGTCTGTTCGCATCGGGCTAACTGGGGCACGAGTTGCTGCAACACACTGCACCTGCAAAGCTTTTTGGAAGCGCAAAAGTAAAGTTTACTCCGTGAGGAATGGATTTTACACATAGTCACTACCGATCTAAATTCAGAGCCTGGCACAGAGTTTATCTACTCTTCAGCTGCGAACTGTTCGAAGACGCACGGCTTACCTGCGGCTGTGGATAGGCACGTTTGCCTGGCTGGCCCAAGGCCTCGATTGTGGTATGGAAGTGCCATTCAACAGGTGAACATTCCCCTTACCGCGGACATGCTGCGGGTAGTATCCAACCTAGGCCATCATTTTGTCTCTGTATGATCCGCTGCCTTTGAACTATGTGACTTTTAACATGGAGCGATTCGACCAACATGATGTAATAAATGCACATTTCGGTGGGGACAACGGAGTGTTGACTGCCTGTCACGGAGACATTACGACCTTTCTACGATTTGTTGGGTCATCTGCTAATCATGGAAATCGAAGTCTACCAGCCTGTGGGATGTGGCGTAAGTCACTTGCAGATTCTTATCAAGAGGCGGGAGCCAAAATTCGAACAGGCAATCATTTGAAATGGTAGCTTTACTTTTGAAATGGTAGCTTTAATTTTGAAATAATGAGCCTCTGATCCCGTATGCTGTCGACAGGAAGCCATGACTAAGCTGGGAACCCAACTCACAGATTGATGAGTCCAGCGTTGGTTTCGGTGCACTTTTGCTACCAGGATTCCGTACAACTCTCATCCACTTGCAACTTTAAAGAGATTCTGTCGCAACCACTGCATACGGCCCCCTTTCATGTCAGACACCTCTAATCGTAGCGAAAAGGATCTCTTTAATATCCAGCTGCCTGCGATCTTTGCTCCTCATCATCTCAACTCTTAGCCGAGGTGCTGGGCGGCGTCCTCCTGCGCTTGGACGCCAACTCCTGCACAGGGGGCGCTAGCGAGCCAGCGCGGCCGGCCGGTGGTGGCGTGGACCGCGACTGCTCCTGAGCCTCCCACCACCGCGCTGGTGACCGGAAGGCAAGCGGGTGCCGTGCACCCCTGCGCAGAGTGCACGAATGGACGTCATGTTGTCGCCCTCGCACTGCGCCCGTGAGTCGCTTATTCGCCGTTGACATCCGGTGTGGACCGTGCGGTGGCCGTCCCCGCGTGCGTCACGTGTCGTGTCGCTGGGACCGAGCCTGCAGCTCGACAACATCAGCAGATGTGAAGAATCGGTGGCAGTCCATCTCCCGTCGAAGGCGCGAGTTGTCAGCCGGTGGAGAAAGTTCGTCCAGATCTGCCAACTACCCGAAGCACGACACATGGCACGTTACGACGGCAGGCAAGTCGGGATGCAGGCAAAGCACGATACACATGCGTCGGTTAGGGCCATCGCAGGCCATAGACTATCTTCTACACCAGAAGTGCTTCGATTTGCGGCCAGAAAGCGAATGCATGCATTGCTTCATGCTCGTATGTTTTTAATACTCAAATCCGGACCTTTTGAATGAATATATTTCTGGGATCTGAGCTCACGCCAAGCAGTGCTCGTATGAGCCCTACCATATACCCCTACCAGCCTGTCGCGCGGATTTAGGCCAACGGTAGGAGTTAATGGCAAAAGTTTAACATGTCGCAATGTTCAGCACGGCCCGCCCCGCCCCCTGACCGCTGCGGACTGCTACCGCACGACCGCTGACCGCTGCGGACTGCTACCGCACGACCGCCGACCGCTGCGGACTGCTGCCACACGACCGCTGACCGCTGCGGACTGCTACCGCACGACCGCTGACCGCTGCGGACTGCTGCCGCGCGACCGCTGACCGCTGCGGACTGCTGCCACACGACCGCTGACCGCTGCGGACTGCTGCCGCACGACCGCTGACCGCTGCCACCGACGGCAGGCCACGTGTCAAGGACAAACAGCGGGCGCCTGAGGTGACTCGAACCCACGCCGCCACGGGTGGGTAGATCGGGGGACAGGCGCTCTCACGAGCCGAGCCGCCGGGACGGACTTGGCTGCGCCCGACCGCACTGTGTAGCCGCGCTGCAGACAGCTGATTAGCTCACCTCGCCTTTCTGATAGAGCATCTGAATTCTCAGGGCCTTCGAGGCGGCTGTCCAGCGTGGGCCTCCATAGCAGGAGTACGAGATAAAGCAACAGGCGGCACTGCTCCACTTAGCAGTGCCCGTGGAGATCTGAACCGTCTCTGATGGCAAGTCCACGTCGCCGGTGACAAATGGCCCAGCCTATTCATATTGCTATTGTCACTCGCCCAACACATTTGTTTACGACCCGGACCCTGTTTACTGCTGCTCACGGCTGTAGCAGAGGAACCGCGCCGGAATCAGACGGCGGAACATGTGGGGACCGACGCCACCCGCTGCCCCGTCGCTCGCGCCCTGACCCCCGTCTCCTTTCCGCGCAACCGCGCCACTCCCCAGCACCAGACCCGCCCCGAGACCATCGCGGCCATGCACGGGCGCGCAGGGTCACCGCCACCCGACCCCGGTCTGTCCGGGTCACCGGCGCAGCCAACAGGCGCCGGGCAGCTCTGGTATCTTTATTCATACGACTACACAGCCCGGTGGCGCCGATTTTCGCCGACACTCAGCGCGGTGAGCGATCCACCTGTGGCTCCTCTTGCATCCCCGCGGCGTGCGGCGCCGCCACGCGGCGGGCACCGATTCGATGCCACGACGCCGGCCCGAACCGGGATCACACTCGCATTGCACAATGGTACGCGATGTTTGACGTTGCTTCCAGGGCTTGTACACATTGTACGCAGGCTGATAAAACTCGAGCCAAGTTGATTTGATCATTAAAACTGAACGAACTCACCGGCAAGCGATGGACATCAACACATGTAAAAATAACTAGTATAAAATACGCTCAAGGACGATGCCTCAACAAACTAACCCCGGCAGCTGTTCTAAAACATATTGCACGAATCAAAATAATCCAAGAGACGGCGAAACGGGAAACGCAATCAAAAATGCCGAAGTCAAAATTTCCAACAGCATCCGTAAAAGTAGGGGAATTTCTGACCTTCACGTGGACGAAGGCAACGAATACCCTGTCCAGACTCGGCAGGAACGCCATCACATTCCGTTAAAGCGTAAGTACAGCAGCTTCTACACCGCGCGCCCAAACCAGCTCTGGTCGAGGCATCAACCCGCATCCCGATCACAAACCAATCGCGCTCCCCGCCCCGCCCAGCTCGCTCCTTTGGCTACTAAATCACTGGAATACCGTCTCCCGTCTCTACAGTACGCGCCCGCCGCGGCAGGCATCACAAAAACCCGCCCTTCCTGCCGGCTGTGAGCACGCCGACGCTGCCGACGCAGCCCGTCTGGCGGGGCGCGCGGCGGCCGCGCGCGCGCGCCGGCACCGTGCCCAGCTGCGCCAGCCGGCCGCGCAGCGCGCCGCTGCCCGGCCGGCCGGGCACGCCCAGCTGCGCGCGCGAGATGGCGCCGCCGCGCCGACCGCCCACCGCCGGCACGCCGTCCGAGCCCACGATGCCCTGCAGGCCGATGCGCTGCAGCCGCTCCATCAGCGACATCTGCTGGCGAACGCGGCGACTGAGCGCCGCCGGCGAGGTGGCCGCGTCGCCGCCGTCGGCGTCGTCGTCGGCCTGCTGGGGCTCCTGGTTGCGGCTGTAGGAGGGCGCGCGCGGCGCGTCGCCGGACGCGAACGTGCGCCGGATCAGGTCGGCGCCCAGCGTCAGCGTGCGTCCCACGTCCAGCAGACCTGCCGGCGCCGGGAGCGGGGCGTCAAGGGAGCACACTGAACACCAGCCGCCGCCGACCGACACACCGGCGCCGCCACAACGGGCCCTCGCTGGTCGGTATCGGGGACACGCTGGGACACAGCGCCTGGGGGAAGCATGCGTGCCGACGGCAAGGCTGCGGATGAGAGCGCGTGAACACGATCGCGGACACGCGCCATGCCATCCTGACCGATGTGAGCGTACAATCTGCTGACATCCTGTCGCGGTGCTACCACTTACTTACATCACAGGACATTAATTAATGCCACTCACGACATAAAAAACAGTCGCAGCATTGATAAACAGGCAGCAAACACGCACACCGGAGCCACTCCGTGAATAACAGGAACCAGTCTAAGCACCGCACGACAAACTACTTTCACCGACGCCTCTGACGGCAGCTGCACGCGGCGCCGCCCTCCTTCTGGCGCGCCGTCGCCAGACCAGAGCACGCGTGTCACATCGGCTGACCTTTGATGAGCGCCGGCGGCTGCGGGCTGCCTGGACGACTCGTCTCCGGGCTGTTGGCCGGCGTGGACGTGACCGACGCCGGAGGCGAGCCGGCCACCGACGGCGTCAGGCCGCGCTCGTGCAGCGCCCGCGCCAGCCCCAGGTGCGTGCTGAACGTGTACGTGGAGGCGGAGGGGCGGCGCGCGGCGCCCACCGACGCCGGCGCCGGCGGAGCGGCGCCGCACGACAGCGGCAGCGTCGACATCTGGCCGCCCTGCAGACTGCGGAACGGCGGTCGGGTCAGCCGGGCAACTTCAGGGCGCGTGTACTCCTTGTACCATGCAGCGCCCCAGCGCTTCTCACAGCAGCGCTGTTTAAACGGATGGACAGTGGGCAAACAACGGCCATAAGCCGAATGATCATCCACCGAATCATTTTGTGAATACAATTTGTTAGTGAACGGCGCCCGTGCGGTTGAAACAGAGAACAACTACCATGAAATTGGTTGTGCATGGCGTAGCACGGTACGACCTAACAACCACAACCACTGCCAACACAACCGGTCGAAGCCGCGCGCAGACGCTTCGTCGACATCCCGTCCACACACATCTGCCATCGTCACACCAGCACACCCGACGGCGGCGGACGGCGCCTCTCCATCCCTCCCACCTGCTGGTCAGCTGGGTCGTATCATCTGGGTGGAGGACGGTGCAGTTGGTGAGCGTGAACACGCCGCCGGTGAAGGGCGGCGCCTTGAACGACATGGGCGGCTCCGGCTCGGGCTCCCGCTCCGGCTCCGGCTCTGGCTCGGAGTCGTCGCTGGGCTCCGCCAGCGGCCGCTCCCACCGGCTGCTCACACCCGAGCGCACGTCCAGGATGCCGCCCAGGTGGGGCGTGGCCAGCCGGGACCAGTGGTGTAGCGTCTGAGAGCCCTCCAGCGGCTTCACGATCTGACCGAGGGCGGACGGCGGAGGTCACACACGCGCCCACCCACCAGCGGTGCGTCTGAGAGCCCTCCAGCGGCTTCACGATCTGGCCGAGGGCGGACGGCGAAGATCACACACGCGCCCACCCACCAGTGGTGCCCCGCCTGAGGTCATCACAACACCAGGAGCTAAAAAATCCCAACATGGTAGCAACGGCGGTACACATGTGACCGCCGTCAGCCCAGGCCGCAGCGCCGCGCCATTTAAAACGAGGCGACAGCGTTTTAGCGGCGTGGTGGCAAACGCCCCACGCGGTACCAGCGCCATTAGGCAAGACGCGTCTGTGATCCACCGCTCGCGGTCTTCCCGGGCGTGACACCCGATGTCCCCAGAAGTCGTGAGCCTAGCGCGCCGCCTCCGAGTCACCGCCGACCCGGGCCAGTTCCGAGTTCAGCCAGTGCGCTGGCCTCGAGTTTCTCCCAGAGTTCGCACCAGTGCAATGACGAGGAGTTTCTTCATTGTTGACCAGCGTGGTGACCCGGGGTTTCTACAGAGGTCACGCCACTGCGCCAGGCCCGGAGTGCCTTCCGAGTTCGTGGCCAAGCATCCCACCGCTGCCTCCAGAGTTCACACCACTGCCCTGACCCAGACGCTCTCCCCTGCACCACACAGCAACCCGAGCTTCTCAGCCGCCCCGTCACCCCTGGCGCCTCTCTCTAGTCCCCGCCGGCGCTCTCCGAGACCCCGCCGACCGGAACCCGGCACGCGACCCTCCGTCCCACCTGTCGCCTCTCTCCAGCCCCTGTCGGCGCTTACCAAGGCCCCGCCGACCGGAGCCCGGCACGCGACCCTCCGTCCCACCTGTCGCCTCTCTCCAGCCCCCACCGGCGCTCTCCGAGGCCCCGCCGACCAGAGCCCTGCACGCGACCCTCTGTCTCACCTGTCGCTTCTCTCCAGTCCCTGTCGGCGGTTACCCGAGCCCCCGCCGACCGGAGCCCGGCACGCGACCCCCGTCTCACCTGCAGCTTCTCGGGCATCTTCCAGGAGCCGGTGGAGCCCATGCTGCCCAGCGAGCCGCGGCTGGAGCACAGCGACATGATGCTCTCGGGCGTCCGCATGCCGTCGCTGCCCAGCTTGCTCAGGTGCCCCGGAGACAGGCGGTGCAGGGCGGCGCGCAGGTCTGGCGAGCCGGGCACGCCGGGGATGCCGCGAGATACCCCCCTGGTGGTGACAGAGACACGCTCACAGGGTATGCCGTGATGTATGACAACTGGGTGACGAAAGACGCAGTCACAGTGAGCACTGGGAGATATCCTCGAAGGGAGACACACAGTCACGACGGCATGCGGCGATATCACCAGAACTTCAGAACTATCACCAGAACTTTATCCATGCCCCATGCCCCAAGTCACAGCTAAACCGGAGCCCCTCTCCCCACCCAAGGCTACACCAGAGCCCGTCTCAATACCCAAGGCTATACCAGAGCTCTCCCCACCCAAAGCTACACCACAGTTCCTCTCCTTACCCAATGCTGCACCAGAGCTCTTCTCCCCACCCAAGGCTACACCACAGTTCCTCTCCTCACCCAAGGCTACACCAGGGCCCGTCTCCATACCCAAGGCTGTACCAGAGCTCTTCTCCCACCCCAAGCTACACCACAGTTCCTCTCCCCACCCAAGGCTACACCAGGGCCCGTCTCCTCACTCACGGGTACATCAGCTCGCTCCCGTCATCCATCTCCACCGAGCACTCGGAGTCGCTGGCGATGCTGGCGGCGTCGTGCGTCCAGGCGCCCGAGTCCCCTGCGCCTGCGCCGGCGCCGGCCGCCCACACGCGGCTGCTGACGCGCACGCCGGCGCCGGCCGTCGACGAGGCGGTGACCGTGCCGGCGGAGAGCGAGGCCGCGCAGCCGGGCGGCAGCGGCGGCGGCGCGGCGGCGCGCGCGCACCGCACCGTGTCAAACGCCGCGCGGAACGGCCCCGGCGTTACCACGCAGGAGATACTGCGGCGGACGCAGTCAGGTCAGGTCCGGTCAGGTCAGGTTAGGTCGGGTCAGCTTCGGCCGCGTGACTGGGGAGACGGCATTGGGCCAGGCGACCAGGCGGTGCACACCGCAAACGGACAACGCGGTAGTAACTTCCACGGATGAAGGGCGTGGCCAAACAACTGCATACGGCGTCGCGTAGACAAATCCCACGGGCGAGCGCCCGACCACGGCCCACTCTCACGCAACGTACCACCGCGAGCGGCGGACGCGCTTGGGACAGCGGCACCGGCGCCGCGCGGCCGGCGACCGGCGGCGTACCTGCGCCCGTGCGTCGGGAACGGGCTGATGCCCAGCGCCGGGCTGACCCCCGAGTCGTTGGAGCCCATCGAGGAGAGCGAGAGCTCCAGCTCGGAGGCCAGCGAGTCCGGCTGGCCGCCCAGGCCGCCCAGGTAGCTGCTGCGCTGGGAGGCGCTCTGTGGAGACAGAGCACGCGCCCGGTCACGCGCGCCGAGGCGGTGAAGAGCTCGGCGGGGCACCGACACGCCGCGGCGCGCGGCCAGGGCGAGACGAGGCGGCGTGCGGCTGTGCAAGGAGCGCGCCAGGGCCCGCGGGTGCCGAGGCTGAGCTCACCACTGATCCAGCCACCATCGTGGCAAACACGCTGAGAACGGAACTGTAGCCCCGTGACAACGGATCTGAACGCTTATTCCACACGTTATCCACGAGTAGCCGATGCTATGAAGGGGGGGGGGAGGGGGGTCACTTCGTTAGCGTCTTCGCTTCCCACAAGGGGGGGGGGGGGGAGCGAATTTGAGCTCCAGCTGTGCTAATAATCCCGAGCGCTAACACGCCCATCTTTCATATTCACTGGCGCTCAATCAAAGACTATGTGACGACGTGTGACGTGTCCATAATGAGAAAAACAGCCGCTGCAATGCCTCATAATTGTCAGCAAGTCGCAGAACTAATCCGCGATCACAGACCCACCAACGTCAGCGTCTCCGCACCGAGCTAAGGCCAACGGCGAGCCCGCCCGGGCCGAGCCGGGCGGGCCAGCCGGAGTCGCGAGCGGCCGGGTCCTCCCTGCGCGGCCCACCTTCTTCTCGTTGCGCCGGATGTGCTGCTGGGCGTCGTGGTACATGGCCTGCAGCTCGGCGTACTTGTCCTTGAGGTCGGCCAGCTCCAGCGCCAGCTCCGACTGCGCCTCCTTGCTGGCGGCCATGAAGCTCTGCAGCTCGTCGTTCTCCTGTGTCAGCCGCTTGGCCCGGCTCTGGCTGTCCACCAGCTGGCGACGGGTCAGGTCAGGTCAGGTCAGGTCAGGTCAGGTCAGATCAGATCAGATCAGGTCAGGTCAGACCAGATCAGAGCGGCGAGAGTTCGCCGCCGGCTCTCCCTGCACGGCCGGCGGCAGATAAGTACGCGCATCACACCGACAGACCACTGTCATTTCTTCCCCCGCGGCGTCCACACAAGCTCAGCCTGTGAGACACGCACGCACACACCGCCGCGGCGCCGTCCCACCCGCCGGCAGCGGCACGCCCCGGCCGCCCGCGACCCGGACCGGCACCGCGCCGGCTCGCTCCCGGCTGACCTGGGCCAGCAGGCCGGTGACCTCCTCCTGGTTCCGCATGTGCTCGTCCACCCGCGTGGCCAGCTCGTCCGACAGCGAGCGGATCGTCTGGTTGGCGTCGGCTGCAACACAGTACGGTCCGATGATGGCGACGCCCATGACGACTGTGACGACGTATGTTCAGATGCGTATTCACGCCGACAAACACGAGTATCCGGCTCCGCGTCAGTTTTGCGCCTACGGCACTTCACACGAGTAAAATGAGTGCGAACTGCCGAAGACCGGCAGCATAGCCCCCAGCCGGTGACACACTCCACCAGCGTTCACCAGGCTTTGGCCTTGGCCTTGGCGGCCGGTCAGCTGACGGCTGCCAGCTGGTAATATGGCGGAGGCCAGCGCTGGCATCCGGTATTGATCGCAACGGTCCATGCTCGCGTGCTTGACAGTCCGCCCCTGCCTGGGTCGCGGCGCCAGCCGGGTCGGCGGCGCCGGCCCGGCTGTATGGGTCATCTGTCGTCCCTCTCTCAACACCGCTCAGTGCGCTCACGGCGCGCTGAGAAACCCGTCCTTCAGCGGCCGGTGCGCTGAGACTGTGTGAGGGAGCGCTGCTCCACGGCGCTGAGGCGGCCCCTCCGGCCGGCACGCACATACACACACGCACGCAATCAGACGGCCGGCGCTCAGTGGCCCTGAACCCTCGAGCTCCGCACCGCCGGGCCGGCCAGGCGACTACGCTCGGCAGGCGGTCAGACCCGACCGGCACGCTCAGACGGAGCGCCACCGCGGCAGGCGACAGGTCCGGCCCGCGTGGGATGCGATCAATGAGCCCGGCCGAGACGCCGGTCATGATCCCCTCCCCCCACCACCTCTGACGGTACCGTCGGTCCCACCCCGGCAGCAGGCAGTGCAGTAACATGTACAACATGGGCCAGAATCGCTGCGGGTGCCCCAGCAGAGGTCTCGGAGTCTCGAGTCTCGGACGCCAGCCGCAGCAGCACGGGCAGCTCGAGCATCACTCACTGAGCTCGAAGACGACGTTGTCGACGAGATCCTTCTCGCGCCCCTCGGCCGTCTCGGTGCTCTCGGTCAGCTGCTGCAGCTCGCCGCGCAGCTCCTGGTTCTCCTTCTCCAGCAGCGTGGTGCGCGACTGCAGCAGCTCCAGCGAGATGTGGCGGATGCCCGACGGTGTGCCTGCGGCGGGAGACGGGCGCGGCGCATGAGCGACGTCGTCTCTCCGGCCCGCCCTCGGAGGGCCCCGCGGAGGAGCGTCGCCCGGCCGCCCGGAGGGTCGCCACCGGGGCTAAGCTCGCTCTCCGCACGAGGTTGTCGCCTGCCCCCCTCCCCCCGCTCCCCCGTCTGCCCCGGCGGGTCTCAAGGGAGTGTCGCCTGACTCTCCATCCACGCGGTGTCAGCCCTCTCCGCCCCCTCCCCTTCCAGCAGGTCTCTCCGAGCGTCTTCCTCCCCTTTCCGCAATGGGTCTCACTACCGGTCTTTCACTTCCTCGGCCACCGCGCAAGGTCAGCGCTCGCGGGGAGAGGGCAGACAATCGCGCGAGCCAGCCCGGGTAGACGGTCGGGGCGGGAAGACCGCGGTGCTGCCTGGGGCCCAATCTGACACTAGAAAGTGAATGACAATGCGGCTGTTGTTGACGATGCAGTGTTGCACCACGTGGATGGCGCGGTGGGAAAGCGAGTCAGAATATTTACGATGCAGTGACGATTCATTGTTGCAGAAAGCGGGCGATGCAATGGTGGCGACGTAGCATGTTCATGTCAGGGAACAGGCAAAGAAAGGCAACAACTATTAGCACACGCTTTTTGTAAGAATGACAAGACAAAGCCGTTTGCACGGATCGAAAGCGCAGTCAGCACGCGCCTGCACGCATCCACCAGGGGACGTCTCATTAGTCATGTTTACTCATTAGTCAGTTGACCGCTACAGGGACAGCCTGCTGATCGTTGTCAGCAAAGAAGTACGCCCTGGGCACAACGTTCGTGGCTTGGGGGGACCGACCGGTTGTCCTACCACACACACCAGTTTTTGGTCCTATTTGCCCGACAAAAACCGGGACAATGTAACGCATCCGGCCACCTCCACCGGAACGGTGGACAGCAGGCCGACAATAACAGCCGCGCCACGGAGCGCGGGCTCCCCGCTTTTCAAGTGTCAGCAATCTCCTCGCCACGCACATCGCTTGAGCCGCAGAGCGAGCGTCCGTCTGCAGGCGTCTGGGGTCTGCAGAGTGCAGGCGCCGTCTGAGACTTCTCCGCCATTCCGGCGGCCCCACACCGGCCGTCCCGCCAGAGGGAGCCCCGCTGTCCGTTTCCTGCTCGGCCTCCCGGCCGTCCGTGGCTCTACCCGACAGGACTCACCCGGCCCTCACGAATAAAAGTAAACCTCCCGTGCCTTTAATCACGGCCGCTGGGGAACACCGCGATCGATGCAATGTATGACGCGATAGCGGCGATGTCGAGCGAATCATGCCGCTTTTGGACGCAAACCCAATCAAGATACGCCAGTCCCATAAACCAAGCGATCAGTCAGCGGAAAAAGCACGTTGGGCCAACTTCATTCAGTACTGAAAACTAGTTAATGACGCTTTGCCATCTTCTTGGTTACAACCGCTCACTGAAGACAATGGGAAAGCCGATTAACAAATCCGAATCCAAGCATCGCAACACCGCTCGCCTAACCAAAAGTACGGCGACGGGGAGGGACCAAGCGCTCAGACCGCACACCAACCTGCTTCGGAGCTCGAATCGTCAAAGTCATTGCTGTAGATGTGCAGCAACTCTGTCTTCAGCTGGAGGTCGTGCTTCAGCTGGGTGATGGAGTCGTTGGCCGCCTGCAGCTCGCCCTCCAACTGCGTCAGTCTCTCCTCCACCTGCCGCATGTGAAGACAGAAGGACACTCGGTCAAGGAAATCAGTCGAGTTCAGTCCGGCCGGCACCTGAGCCTCCCGCTGCTGGCGACGTTACGACCGACCGACGGCGAAGACGACCATCACTGCAAGGTTCGTTCAAGACGCATGCAGCCCGTAATGTCTCCAGTGGACATCCCAACACCGAAGGAAGCAGACTAGGTAACGCATGCCAGTTATCCAGCCTAATAACTTAGACACCTGTATCACGTCCCCCAGTTCTCAGGCTCATGATAATTCAGAGACAGTTCGGAGATGACAGTTGGTTGCCCGTCTCCCTGCGCGGCTCGACCCCGGCCTTCGGCGCCCGGCGGCCGCGCCGCCGCCCTTGATCAGACGGCACCCCGGGGCGGCGGTTATCAGCCACTAGACTGCGTGATCAATCCGAGCGATAACAGCCAACGTCAGCCGGCCCGCGGCCAAAGCGCGGCCGGTCCACTGCCGCCGGGCCATCGCCGCCGGTCCGCCGCCGCAGGCCGCTCGGGCCCGGGCCGGGGGAGGAGCGAGGGCCACGCACGCGAGCCGGGCGGCCGCCAACGGCCGGAGGCACACTGACCTGCGTTCGACCGCGCGCCCCCGCCCCCCCCCCCCCCCCGAAATAGGCGGCGGCGAGCGCCGTCGGCCGGCGGTCAATGGGAACACGCGCGCGCCAACCGTAGCCTCGGAGACGACCTTCGCCGGCGACGGACGACGTCGAGGAGGTCCGACCGAGGGCGACGGTGGCGAGGCGCGACACGCGCGACGGTAGTTCACGGACTTAAGACGGGTCACGTCGGGTCACAGGGACGACAGCTCCACAGAAATGCCCAGTGTCCGGCTCTCGCGAGCTTGATGTCATCCGTAGATAAGCCCCGCCGCGTCACGGCCTGATACAGCGGCTCAAGTGTACAGACCAACGGATCTAGATCATGTCGCCGGTGTCGCCATTCAAACCGGGACATCTGGCGGGACTCGACCCGAGCGAGTCACCATCCAGCGCAGCACCGCGGGAGGACCCGCGTTCCCGGATGTGTCACTGTTTGGATAGATCCCCGCACCCCTGCAACCAGCCCGTCTGTTTGCGCGGGCAGCGTCGGGCTCGGCCGAGGTGACGGCCAGCGCGCTCCCCACCGGTCCGGCGCGGTCCGCCCGTCACCCCAGCACACAGCAGCGCGAGGCTCGCGCCAACAGACCGCTGCCGCCGACACACCTCCACCGTCGGCACGGGACGGGCGAGATGGCGAGCGACCCGCCGGCCGCGTCAGGGCGCGGGTCCGAGGGGGCCGCTGACCGGAAGATCGGCAACACCCATCAGACGGACTGCGGCTCTCAGGACCCGGGTCTGGCGAACGGCGCCGCTCAGGCTGCTAAGCGGTCTGGGACGGCAGCTGGGCTAAATCGATTTCACGTGCCATTCAGTAGGCGCAACAGACCATGGGTTCGACCTAACGTCCTCCAATAATTACCCCCATCGTACGAATATAAGTTTACGATTCGCGGGATGCTCGAGTGTTACATCTGACGTTAAACATGACAAAAATAAATACAACCGCATAACACAGTGCTGAATTACTCATATCGACGTAAAACGATGATAGGGAACGATCACTAGCCATGTGCTTGTTATTAATGTACACGTTTCAATGACATAAATATAACTGTCGTCATCTTATCAGACCAAATATTTCAGATGGCAATTATAAAAGAAAAAGCTCGTCTAGGCCGGCCACCCAGCTTCATACGCGGCACTTTGAAATATGGTCAAACGCTAACAAAAACGAGCAACAACCAGCAAGAAACTGGGATGTGCACTGACACCGCCGGCCGCAGGCAGGAGAGGAATGGAGTCACGACCCCGAGCGAAGCCGGCCGCTTTTTCCGGTCGATAGAAACCTCGCGGGTCGGGTTCGGCGCACTGCGGCTGCTGGCCTGACAGCTGCCGAGGGCATGTTTAACTGACGTTTTGATAGAGGGCACCGGTCAGACTGTTTTGATAAAGGGCGCCGTCACCACGAACTGCTTAGTAGGAACGCAAGGGCAGTGTGATAACCAGGAAACAGCTATCTTACAATACCAATCAGGAAGTCAGAATAACCACGAGCTTCAAGCTCGTCATGATCAAGCAAGAGTCAAGCAAGAACATTGGAAAGCGCAGCGGGGTAATCTTCGAAACGATTCCAAACTCGCATCACAAAACCAGACCGCAAACCGCCTGCGCCGTGCCATGCCTGACCACAAACCATGGGTCAACCTCGACGCCAAAGTCTTCTTTCACAAAAGCCGGACCACACGGCACCGGCGCCACGCAGCGCGGGCGTCCGCAGCTGAGAGGTCATGATTAACATGACGCCTCTGGGCAGCGGCCGGGCCGCTGGCACGGCGCGCTGAGCCCGGTCCGGCGCGGCCGGCCACCTCACCTGCTTGTTCCGCTCCAGGAGTTGCTGGCCGATCTTGGCGGCCAGCTCCAGGTCCTTCTCCTTCTCCTCCAGCAGGCGAGTGACGGCGTCAATGTCATTGTAGGCCTTCGTCATTTGACTCACTCGGTGGCCGCATAGAACTGAGGAAGAACCGCGGGAGGCGTCAGCGGCGCGGCGACGACTGCCGACGCCGATGAAAGGCTTCCGTCGCTCGGCGCGATTGGCGAATGAACAGAGCTGACAAGAATACTACGGAGCCAGCGGCACGCACACCAAAGTCAGGCACGAATCTTTGTGGCTGACGCGATGAGCAGCCGGAAATCATCGCGCGGAGGGGCAAACACCAAATAATGGACTCCTCATCGGGTTGCGATGGCACGTGGGAATAGGGGGCGGGGGGGGGGGGGGGGTGAAGCGCGACCAAGGCCTCCGCCACACAGACCCCTCAGGTATCTGACAGATCAGTCGATATATCACCACGCACGGAAATGGTTTCACTCCAAAAAAAAAGGCGCGACGGACGGATACGGGCCAGAAAATCTGTGCTGTCCAATCGTATTTGGGCCGGGCCTAGCTATCCAGCGCCCAGCACCCAGCTGGAATGTCACCAGACGAGATGGAAAGATCATGCGTAAGCCCGCCGACGCATTCCAGCCACACATAAATGACCAGGAACGCGGAGCGGTCTCACTGACGATGAAAAGAGCGACAAAAATATCATACGTTTTGGTAAAAGACGAGGTCGTCTGATAACTGACAGTGAAGAGTGCGACAAACACATCACATCAGATTTTGGGAAAAGATCCGGTTGTGTGCCCAAGTGCTTCCGTTCAGAGCCGGTCGACTTCCACATACGGCGCATACCTCCAGCCCCGACACTCGACCTAACCGACGCAGCTGCAGGAGCGAGACCTTCTCGGCGTGCCCGCCCTGGCCTGCGCCGACCCGTGGCGATGGCCGTCCTGCCGCGCCTTCGCCGGCGGCCGCAGAGGGGGGGGGGGGGATAACACGCACCGGCACAATCGACCCGTCACGCTATGTGCCCATCCACGCCTCTCGTTAGAGAGCCGTGGACCGCGCGTCTTTCACGGAGGCCCGGCCCGACCCGACCCGCCGCCGCCACCGCCGCCGCCCGCAGCCAACGGGGTCAGTCACGCTGGGAAGAGGGGCAGCTCCGACAATGGGCAGGGGGGCGGAGAGGTCCGCACACTCTGACGCGTGGGAAATCAGAACTGACGGAACTGTGCCGAGACACATAACTGTGCCGTCGTGAACACTGAAGACGGGGACGGTCTCAGAATAGGCAAGGAATTGGACGAACTGTGTCAGTGCGTACACTGAAGTCAGGGAAGTGTGATAAAACGAAACCTGACGCGGCACAGCTCTGTACAATGAACACTGGAGACGGACGGGGGATCCAAAAATGACGAGGACTAACACCATGCCAAGGTGAACACTGGGACGAGGCACACGACAACATGTTACGGGCTCCACTTTTGCGAAGCCTCTTCGAAAAACTCCGGCGCCCCCCCCCCCCCCCCCGCCCCACATTGAGAGCCGCCCGCACCGAATCAATTGAGAACCGCTGGAAGCGGCACGGGTCGACCGACGCGACGGCTGAGCCGCGTAAGCCGAGCGACTTGATCTCCGGCAGCATCCGGCCTGTGATCCGACGCATCCGACGGGCGATCCTCTCAGGCCTCGCGAGCGCCGGCGGCGGGCGAGCCACACCCGCCGGCGCCGCCCAGTCGGGGCCGCCAGACTCGCGGGAGGCGCGTCCCCAGCCGGTCACGCCCGCGATAATGCCGGGGCGTCCGGCGGCCTCCTGCGACGACCCGGGGCGCCGATCAAGGATCGATGGGCGCCGCGAGGTCATCTCTCGCGCCGGACCGGGCGGCGCCGGCTCTGCGCCGCGCGCGGCCGGGCCCTGTCCGGCGCCTCGCACGGCGCCTGCCACGCGGCCCATCACCCTCCGAGGTCGCGCGGCGACCGGTTTGCGGCCAGGTGTGTGCCGGCTCGCGTGCGACTCGGCAGACGGCGAGTTGACAGCTGGCACCTCGATTGAGCACGGTCTGACGGGAGCGAGTTCTGAGGAGGCCACGCGCGGGGCGCCGGCGCTGACCCCGGGTCGGCGGGTGACACCGCGGGCAGACGGGGTAGATACAGGCGGCGAGGTCACTCATATCCGGCCGTCGCAAATCGGCTCACAAGCTCAGCTTGTAGAGGAACCTCACAGGTGCCGAGCATTCCAACCCCCTCCCGGAAAGCCAGATTCGCAGCCAAGCAGAACAAGCGTAGCCCCTTACAGAGCTAGAACTCCAAATGTATTGCAGTGTCTCCACACGCACCGGCGAGGGATTGCAATGCATTAGGGGCCGACCCCGACAGGCGACGCCTCTTTACAAACGCCGCATCGTTATCTAAACACCGTCCTCCTCGGCCCATGTCGTCCCAAACACGACACAGGCTGGCCAAATAGCGACGCAACTGCGCAGGTCGGTGCTATTCGCGCCCTCCCGCGTCCCCCACACACACAGGTGCGCCGCCCACTTTGCCGCGTGGGGAGAGGCCCACAAACACCGGCCCAGCCCGAGGCGGCCGAGGCGGCGGTAGACAAAGGGCAATCCGTCGTTGGGGGTCCACTATTCAGGAGTCGACACTTCCAACACAGGCCAGAGACCAAGCCACCTTTGATGTCAACCCTTTTCATGCATCAGTGCGGGACCAATGCCAAACTGGCACACGAGGAGCGAGCGAGCCCCGGCCTACCCGTCACCCCCGTTGTTCCCCCGCTCATGGCCGCGGCGGGCCCGCCGTTCCCCGTCTGTTCACGGTCTCGGGGTTCGGCGCGTCTACAGAGGAAGTGGTCTAAGTGGTTACGGCCGGCGCCGCCGCGGCCCGAGGACCGCCGAGGCCGGGCCGTCCGCCACGGCAGCGCGCCGCCAGCTGACGGACGGGCCGGCGACCCCGGCCGACCCGCGGTGCCGCCAGATGATACCGGGGTCACGGCGGCTTCAGGGGAATCAATCACCGCACGAACGGGGTTAGAGAGGCTACGCGTGGGACAGGGAAGTTCGGAGGTCCCGGTAGCGGTGATGCCAAGTGTCGTGGTTCACATTTTGGCGCAGCACTCATTAAATGACGTTGAGTTCCATCCCGACCACCCACACGTCGGCCCTGTCTGCGTCTATAGCGGCTCACATTTACAAACCATATTGATGACCATTGAGGCTTTAGGACACGCCGACTACTGACGTCATTTTGCACCCATACTAAACCATATTGACACAGACCGTGTCAATGTGGCTTATTATAAACAGTCTCTCCTGCTCTGAGCAGGACAAATGCAAGTCTTGTGCCAGTCCCTCCGTCGTAAAAAGCGGGTATCAAACCCACACCTTGGCAACAACGGGCACAAGCGGACTGCACCACACCGCCGGGAGCCCAGCTCACCTCCCCGGCAACCATCGGAGGCGCCCAGGACGTTCCTGTCAGTCCCGCCGCAGGGACGGGAGGGAGCGCGGACACGGAGCGTGCGTGCAGGCGCCACGTCCATGCGGCGGCGCTCATCGGGCTAATGGAGCGCGGTCCGGCAGGGCGCGGCTCGCCATGGCCCGCTGACGGAGAGGCCTGGCGCGGGGACAGACCTTCACCGCCCGCCGCTGTGTGTCTGACACACGGTCTGGCCGCCTGGCCCTGACACCGCGAGATGCGGTCAGTCCCGAGCAAGGACAACGCACCGCTCACCGGACCAGCTGTGCCGACCACGTCCGGTCCGATCTGGTCCAGTCCGGTCCGGTCCGGTCCAGTCAGGGAAGCCCACCCAGCCACTCACCGTTCCAGGAGAGGTCCAGCAGCGAGGTGGGCCGGCGAGCCAGCGCGCGCCACGCCTCCTCGCCGCGCCCCAGCAGCTCGGCCTCCAGGTCACGGTCATCGCGCGACAGCGCGGCGACCTCGACACCGCGCAGCGCCCGCTCGATGGCGAGCTTGCGCGGGGGTCGCGACAGCGGCCGCCGCGCCGGCGCCTGCGCCATGCCGCCGCAGGCCGCCGCCGATCGGCACCCGCCGCCTCCGGGCCTCTCCGAGACCGCACTGACGCCGCTGGACGCAGTCTCCGCCGGTCGCCGCCCGCTCGAATTTCACATTCCACCCGGGGGCGGGCCGGGCCGGGCGCGAGCCGACCGTGACCGCGCGCTCTCGCCGGGGTCAGATCGCGAGCTCGGCGTCGACGCGCTCACGCGCCACAGTCGCCGCCGCACTGGACGGCCGCCCCGACGGCGCAGACGGCGGCAGCGGCGCTCGCCTCACTGGCATTGGTCGGCGGTCGGCGGCGGCCGCAGCAGCTGACGCGGCCGGCCGCGCGCGCGCACGTGACTCGGGCGACAGGGGCGGCCACACCCGCGCCAGCTGAGCGGCCGCCGCCAGGGGGCGGGGGCTGGACGACGGCGACGACGGCACGCGGTCGACGGCGCTCCTCGCCCGGACCGGCCCTGCGACGTCCAGAGGCGCGCGTGCGCACAGTGACCGACGGCTGCGAGCCGGCCCGGCGGACGTGACCTTCGGCCGGCGCCAGAGCAAACACCGCAGACCGCGGTCAGCGGGCCCGGGGACCGCGGCCTGCGCCCGGTGACAGTGGCCAGGACCGCCGCCGGCCGTCACCGGGGCGACCCGGCCCACAACAGGACTCGGCCCGTCCCCAGGCGCTCAGCTGCGGCCAGGCAGACAGACGACGAATCCTAAGCTCTTCCATTTGCCAACTTTTTTTTACTTGACGTTTCCTGCGTGTTTTTCTACTTCACATTCCTGAGCCGCACACATGTCGGAACAAGGCCCGCACGAGCGGGCGGGTTCACAGCTGGAGCAGCTGATTGCTGCTTTACGTGCTCCGCGCAATCCATCACTTGGATTTGTGTCGAAAGCCTTGGATAGGTCGATGGATCGATGCAGCCCGACGATCCAGGCGAGAACCGTCGGAAAAATTAGCGGTCAGCAGCCAACGATCGGATGCTCCATCGATCCCGCATGTCCCCTTGTCTTACGTAAGCGAGATGAACGGACTTAATAACAGTGTTCGTCATAAACACCAGCCCATCGACGACAACAAACAAGCGGGTATTTGTGTGATTGCCAGAGATTGTTC